TATAATATAATATAATATAATATAATATAATATAATATAATATAATATAATATAATATAATATAATATAATATAATATAATATAATATAATATAATATAATATAATATAATATAATATAATATAATATAATAGCCTTCACCTGAGTCTTTTATAGAAAATTGCCTTGGTTTCGCGCTTTCGGGTCAGTCTCCGAATTCCATGGGGACTGTCCTAGTGATAGAGCACAATCACGACGAGGATTCTCATTTTTTACTGGGACTTGAAAAAAAGCAATGGAAGTAATTTCAGCATAATTCTAATTACATACATAATGGTACATAATTTTATTTTAAGCAATTCCTAGATTAAAGACATAATCACTCTCATTTTAGTTCATTCGTGAATTTTCAATTCCCGAGGACGCCTTTGAAGCACTGATTGACCTTATGGATCACACGCGGAGAGGGAACATCCCAGGGAGGACCTCGCGCGATGCCCGTTGGCGCCCATTGGCTCGACGCAGCGCGCCTCCCAGCGTCTCGTGCCTCCGCGGGCGATCCTGGCTCGCTCGACGAACGCTGCCGCCTCTGAGCCGCCTCTGAGCCTCCTCCTTCCTCGAAAGCCTTGTGATTCCTTGCGCGAGTTCTCATTGATGGATCAACGATCAAAACATGAAAGGAAATTATTTGTGATGAAAAGTCACTGCTTCCAAATTTTGCATTTTATTGTGGGAATGTAATTGGGTTTGATTTGAGGCATTGATTAGTTGAAGATTTCACGTTTTCCGTTGCAATTACAAATGCCTTTCGTCAAAAGATGTTGCTCATTACTTAAACGATTAATCAGGATTAATTAATGATATAAAATTAATTTTAAAATCAGGCGACTAACAGCTGAAACTCGCCATTGAGGTAAATGGAAATAGTCGCCAGCCATCGCGTTATGGGGGTTGGTTAATGCCAACGCGAATGGTCGATCTGTCGTGTAAAGTCATTTCTTACATTTAGATTTCGGTGAGTCATCGGGCGGCAGAGATTTGGTGAAAAGAGACCCGAGGAAGGGGTGGAAGGTGGTGGAAGGTGGAGGAGGGGAGGGAGAGAGGGAGGTGGTGGAGGTGGGGAAGGGGATTAGCTCGGGCTCTCCCCAAAGATATTAGGACCTTTGAATTATTTTTTGTTTTTGTCTGTTCTTAGAAATGGATTCGGGGTATCCCCCTTCGCCACCAATAGGAGGCTGGCTTTGGGCAATTAATTTAAATAGCTTTCGGCCTGCCTACTATTTTCAGTGTTCGCTCGGGAGGCATTCCTGCAAGCTCTGAGTTTGGTGGTGCTCAATCCATTCATTCGTCCAATTCCGTGCGAAGCCCTGTTTCTTCCAAATCGTGAGTATACATTCCGCTTCATTTAAGGATTTGAAGTAGCATTTTAGTTTCGAACTGTATCTCCGAATATGTTTGCGCGAGGCGCTTGTACGAATTATTCCGATTCCGATCCCGGAATCACGTAGCTCTTCTCGAGAATTCCTATTAGAGTAAATCGAAAAGGTAGGGGAACGAAAGGGTTACAAGGATTGAACTGAATCTCTGTCTTGACGATAACAACCGTTACACGTTGACCATTTTGGGAGGCGTGTGGCCGTTTCAAGGCCAAGAAACAGCTCCGCTATTGATAGCTTTCAGATGAATTCAATTGCAAAGCATCGGTGACTTGAGCGCGAAAGACAATAGTAATGAATTGATTTTAACGGTAGGTTATGTGGGCGACCGGACAAATGAGCAGGGCCATATCTAGGATTTCAATTCGGGGGGAGGGGGTGGGGGTGTTGAACCCCATGAACCCACCCCGTAAATACGGCCTTGCAAATGAGAGGGAAAGAATGGAGGGTGGGCGAGGCCACCGAAGGAGAGCCGCAAGGGAACCTTCCTTCTGCCTTCATCCTTGCGCTCCGTGCGCTCCAGCCACACCGAAACGCGGCGCCCCAGCGCTCAGTATTCAGGCGCTCTTCCGAGTTTTCAGCGCGATTGCCTGACTGGAATGCGCGAAACGCCTTGGTGGGCGATTCTCATTTATAGATTTAATTTAAATGTAAGGTAGCGTTTTTCTCCTTCGATTTCGTAGGCCTATGAAACACTCGATAGCTCTTTGCATGCCCTGCCTGACGAACACCGAGTCGGAGTTTCATCCGGATGTTCTTTCTTCCGCTGTTTTCTGATCTGCATTTCCATTCGTCCATCGATTGCACCAGGAAAGAGGAATTTCATTCATCACGTGACTCGAAGGGACACGCACCGCACTGTGGTGTTGTCGGTGAAGCAGTGTTGCGGGTGAAGCAGTGTTGCCGGTGAAGCAGTGTTGCCAGTCACGCTGTCTCCGTCCTTCATCAAATTTTGCGTCTCATCATTTTTCTTTTCCAGAACGAATGAAGAGACGATCGAGAAGAAAGGAAGGGTAAATGAAACGGACCTATCCAAATGCAGAAGCAATTTGTTTTTCCATCCCAAAAGCAGCCGAAACAGCGACTGCAAGTACCAATTGCTGCAAGTACTGGTCACTGCGTCGCTTTATAACCGGCCGATATCGTCTCCATCAACGGCTTTTCATCGGTTCTTCAAGTGCGACGACATCGAAGCGAATGGAAAATGGCTTTGGAAGGGAAAAGAAAGCCGATCGAAGTCTCCGCGGTTTCTTCCAGCCGCCGCGGCGAAAAATCGCCAAGGGAGAAAAATGGAGAGGAAAAGAGAAAAAAAAAAGGGAAAAGAAAACGGAAGACGGACGCGAATTTTTTTTTTCTTCCCAATTTTCGAGTCCATTTTCCATTTGAAATGCGTTTGCCATTCGCGACGGAAATGTCCGCAAAAAAAAGTTGCACGAAATTTTACTCAGAAAAAAAAAAATTTGTCGGGGAAAAAATTAAATCGCAAGCGGAAAATTCCACTTTTGACAGCTCTCGGATTTCATCTCGCTGGTTCCTCAGCATCCGAGAGTTTAATCTTCTCACGGGGCAAAAACTGCTCCGATTTTCCTCATTTTTTAATCGATGGTTTTTTTCAAAAAAAATTAAAAATTGGAGCTGGACCGACGGCCACATTCGGCCGATTGCGATCCTCCCGGGACACCCCCCCCCCCCCGGGACATCCCCCCCCCCCTGGGNCCCCCCCCGGGACATCCCCCCCCCCTGGGACACCCCCCCCCTCCCCCCGGCCCTATTGGAGGCCATAGTAGGCCAAGGCTCACGTCATCGGCGCAGCGAGGATGGAAAAGTTTCTCCCTGTGCAAAATGGTACTATCGCCTCAAAATTCCACAATGGGAAAAATTAACTTGGGGATAGTTATCACAATTTTCGGCGATTTTTTTTGGCATCGAGAAGAGTTGCGTGTATAAATAAAAAACATATATATACTGGTAATTTAGGGTGTAATTTATTTCTTATGGTTCATCCAGACTCTGCAATCCGCGTCAAAACTTTTATTGAATCCAATCCAAAAATCCAATCGACGAAACACTTGGCGGACGAGCTTATCTAAAACGTTATCACTTGGGAAGCAGGGCAGTAGTACACTTGGAGCATGCACCTGAAGCATGCATGCTCCAAGTGCATGCTCCAAGTGCGTCTCGGCTGTGAGGGAACGTCATCGCGAGTTTTCCCTCTCTCTTTCGAGATACGAATGAAACAAAAAAAGTGTTGAGAGGGTCACGATGATCATCAGTTGATCACGATGGGCGTGAGAATTCCCTCGTGAGAAGGTAGAGTATTCGCCGTTACTAAAGGCTCTTTTCTTTTGTCCCCTGAAATTTGCTCTAAGAAGCTGGGCACATTTTCT